TGGTAATTAAGCATTATCGCACTATGGTCCTAAACTTTAGAATATACTTTCAAATAACATTTGTGACAAAAAAAACACAAATATTTATAAGAAAAAACTAAAATCTTATTTAATGATAAATGGTGAACTATTCAACCAGAAAACTCTTGAATGTTAAATTATAATCTCTTGAATATTATTATTAAAAAATTTTTTTACTATTATTATAATTTATTGCACAGCTAAGCAAGTGTTTTATCCACTATTCTGGCAAATCAGAGTAGCTGTGGGTAAATATATTTATTTATTTATATGGTAAAACAATTACTATGAGAGCTTTTTTTTCAAAAAAAATATTATCATTTGATATCATTACACCTGCAAGGGGTCAAATAATGTTTTTTTGATGACAAAGTAACTTATTATTTTTGAAAGTCACTAAGTTTTAATGTATTTTATTTAATGTGTCTATCGAGAAGTAACATTATTTTGTAAACTACAATCCATAAGCTCTTTGCTTCATTAAACAAAACAACTGAAAAAACAAGTTACTACTAAAAATAGTTCGATTGTTTTATTAACAAGTATGGGATAAACTTGGGATAACTTGATAAAGTATTTGTGGAGTCCTAAAACTGTAGAATAGTACTCCATCGTGTCATAAACTATTCTAAAAATTCTTTTCTTTTTTTTTTAGTCTAACTAAACGTCTGATAAAAAAAAAAAAGTTAGCTAAATGTTGATTCAATTTTCAGTTCAAAATACTTACAAAATCTTTCAATTTTTGTTTGTGGTTACTTAATTTTAAAACTTTTTAAGTTGAAAAAAAGGGAAACAATATCCAACCTGCTGATAAGCTGCAGTCCATGCAACAGGCACTAATATCCACATGAATACAATTCATTATGGTGTTTTAGTAGCAGTTTTGCCAGATTAAATAGTGATGCAAATTTTAGAAAAGTTTATCAATGTAAACTTTAAATAGTGATTTAAATTAGTAGAAAATCACTTTAAAATTTTTTATTTTATTTTACACTGTGTTTCATCAATAAAGACTCATCAGAAATTTTCTGATGAGGCTTTATTGATGAAACAAAGTGTAAAATAAAATAAAAATTTGTTACGTGATTTTCTACTAATTTATAATTGCTGTATTCCTTTAAGAATATTGAGCACTCTATACTGTAGAATACATTTTTAAAATTGTTTAAACACACACACCAGGATCCCAATATTTGTAACAATTTATAGTTGCTGAAATACCTGTATTAAAAAATTTGAAGATTGTTATTTTGGTATTCGAAATAATTTCGAAAGCTTAAAAAGTTTAAAACTTTAATTGATCTAATAAATGGAAAAAAAACTATTTTACATAACTAAATGTGGGTATATGATATTGGTTATTTTTAGTTAAATTAAAATATTATATAAAATTTCAAACGGTAAGTTAAATTATACATTATAAATTATACATTTTATTTTAGTGCTACGAACTTTTAGATAATTTGTATTTTACTCCAGTATGAATATTCAAGATTTTGAGGAGCATTCCAAAGCAAATGATAAAAATTCACCATGGTTTCATTTTGTAAGAGAAAAAGCAGGACAATGTGCTAAATGCAAGTTGTGTAAGAGAATAATAAAAACACATGGAGGTTCTACAAGCAGTCTTCATACCCATTTAAAAATAATTCATAAAATCAATTTATTAAAAAGAGATGTAGGTAGCCCAACTGTTTTAGATTCTTCAGTTTAGATTGTTCAGAATTTGTACAGACATCAAAACCTTCTGTAGCTATAAACAACTTTTTTAAAAGTGATAAAATGGATAATTCATTGCCAACTATTTTAGCTAGGAAGACTGTGTGTGTCAAAATGGTCTTGAATTACAGTAAAAATATATAAGACAAAGTAATTAAAGAATTATCAAGCAGAATTGCTTGCAAAGAATTTTAGAATCTAGGATTAATTCGTGCCTTTGGAACAATTCTCACAGAAAAATGTGATGAGTTTGTCAATGATAGGTTAGGTGATTTTAAGGTTTCGATCACAAATATTGTAGGTATTACCACTGATGGCACTGCAGTTATGACAAAGGTAGGCAGGTTAACTGAAGCACATCAGCAGCTATGTTTAGCGCATGGAATTAAGTTGGCTGTTATTGGCGTACTCTATAAAAAATCTAATAATGAGGATAGTCTGCATAATGAAGAAGGTGCAAACGTTACATCAGTTCCTACACCCATATTTGAAAAAGAGCAGAATTCCATAGATGACGATGAATTAATTGATGAAGATTATGAAAATGAAAATTGTTTACTATAATATCCACTGAAAACAAAGATGATAATTCTTCTTTTATGGTACATCAGCAAATGTTACCATTAATTAAAAAAGTTCAAAAAGTGGCCAAAATATTCTGTTCCTCGCCCACAAAAAACAACAAAATCCCACAAAAATATGAAAAAGAAAAGTTTGGAAAAAAATAGTTTTAGAATCAAAAACACGATGGAATAGTTTGGTGTCTGTGATAGAACGTTTTGTCAAATTAAAAAATTGCATCAAAAAGAGTCTAATAGAGTTAAAATCACCTATTTTGTGTTCAGATGCAGAGTTTAAAATGTTGTCAAATATCCTTTCAATTTTACTTTCTATTAAGCTTATAGTTGAAGCAATACAGATGCTGACAAGATGCAACTTTATTATCTGCAGATGCTTTATAATGAAATCAATAGCTGGCCATCCATGTTTATTAAGTTATGAATTAAAAGTAGCTTTAAAAGTACGTATTCTTGAAAGACGAACAGAAATTTCAAGTATTTTGCAATATTAACACAATGCAGACTCCAATGAAAATCCATATACACATTTAGAATGTATACTTTATTGGTTAATGTATACCAGTATATTAAACTTTTGTATTATGAAAAAAAAGAGTTTTTGTTTATTTGTTGATGATTATAATGCATAGCAGGTTGTTTTCTTTAATAATAAACTTGATTGAGTGTTGTTGTTTTTTTTTATTTTTAGTGGATTTAAAATATCAACCCGGTATTTTACAAGTTTACATCAATTAA